ATAATGCAAGACATAATATTATAAAGTTGCTTCTTACTTATACAAATCCAAACATATGGTTCAGCTATCAGAGCCATAGATATACCTCAGGGATTCTTGAAAGACTGGACAATCTTAACTTTTTTTTCACAAATATTTTTCTTAATATTAACAACATTTAAAATAGCCTATATATTTTGATAGATCAAAGTATCAGCTATCACACCATGTAAAGAAACAACCTCCTTTAAAAAAAAAAGTTTATTAAATGCAACTAACTGGATTTGTATCTACTCTGTCAGAAGCCATAAAAGGCATTTCATACTTCCCAAGTGGAAAACTCAGGACCATCTTTCTACGAGTTAGCAAGTCGGACATTTCAGAGTTTCCTAGTTCCGACTAGCACGTAAACGCGGCAGTAGAGCCGACATGGAAATTAATAATATTGAAAGTATTTAGAAAATTTCTGAAACAAATCTTTTCCCCTCATAAAATTCAGCTAAATGTATACTGAACAAAAATATAAACGCAACATGTAAAGTGTTGGTCCCATATTTCATGAGCTGAATTAAAAGATCCCAGACATTTTCGATATATACGGAAAAAGCTTATTTCTCTAAAATGTTACACACAAATTTGTTTCCATCCCTGTTAGTGAGCATTTTTCTTTTGCCAAGGTAATCCATCTACCTGACAGGTGTGGCAAGCTGATTAAACAGCATGATCATTACACAGGTGCAACTTGTGCTGGGGACAATAAAAGGCCACTCTAAAATGTGCAGTTTTGTTACACAACACAATGCCACAGATGTCTCAAGTTTTGAGGGAGCGTGCAATTGGCATGCTGACTGCAGGAATATCCACTAGAGCTGTTGCCAGATAATTTAATATTAATTTCTCTACCATAAGCCGCATCCAACGTCGTTTTAGAGAATTTGGCAGTACGTCCAACCAGCCTCACAACCGCAGACCACGTGTAACCATGCCAGCCCAGGACCTCCACATCCGGCTTAGTCACCTGCGGGATAATTTTAGACCAGCCACCAGGACAGCTGATGAAATTGAGGATTATTTCTGTCTGTAGTAAAGACCTTTTGTGGGGAAAAACTCATTCTGATTGGCTGGGCCTGGCTCCCTAGTTGGTGTGCCTGGCTCCTAAGTGGGTGGGCATATGGCCCAACCATGGCTGTGCCCCTGCCCAGTCATGTGAAATAAAATAAAATAAAATACAATTTGATCCATAGTTTATGTGAAATCCATAGATTAGGGCCTAATTTATTTATTTCAATTGCCTTATTTCCTTATGTGATCTGTAACTCGGTAAAATCGTTGAAATTGTTGCATGTTGCGTTTATATTTTTGTTCAGTATAATTTTTCTTTGCTCATAATGCAACAAAATAACAAAAAATCAACTATAAGAATAACGTTTCAAGAATCCCTTACCTATATGACACCTGTGACATTTATATGACAATTTCAATACACATTTCCCACCATGTAATGTTATATTAGTTGGAACATGATGGTGCAATAACTCTTGATAATATTTTAATTGTAACCAATACATTGTTCATATTCAATAACATACAGCCTAAATAGAATAGAATTTGTGGAAATAATGCTGCAGTTTATTGAATTATAGAAATGTGAGAAATTTGGCCTACACTCCATCCAAATCATGGCCAATATCCATTCGAATTTTTAGGCCTATCCTAATCGTGTGCTGGTTATTATCGGCAGTGTCACACACGACTATGTATGTCAGGTGCGTTCGATTGACTTGGAAACGGGTTCGCCCTTCCCAGTTTGATGTGCTGTCATTTTTTTTAAGCCTACGCTTGAGCGAAACGGTGTGGTTAACTGACGTAGGGTTTCCACCACTTCCGAATTTGTCAGACGAAGTTCCGTCCCCATTCATTTTCAACGGGAGCACGCGGAGCAATACGCAGGGGATTGTGAGAGAGCGGTTGAAAAAGCTCTGCTCTACTTTATGCAAATTGGAACGCGGCCACCGCTTCCGTTAACCAATCAGGTGAGGAGCAGATGTTTGCTTGAAAATCTTCCGTTCATGAAACATGGTTCTGCCTGTGATTAGTTCCGGGCAAGCGCAACTAAAAAATATAGAGGAAAGCCAGTCATCGCAGTGTCTGGTATTCCAATTCTATATGATGTGGCTTTGTTAGAATACGGAGACACAATCATAAAGTCAATGGCATGGAGGAGGATTGCAGAGATTGTTGGTGTTGAGGGTGGTTGAAGAGAGATTTGCACAACGTTTGCTTGTGCTGCTAACTAGCTATGAACATAAATGAACCTAAACCTAAAAACTGTGATCAAAGCCACCATTTGTGAATGTATTGACGAAATTAAATTGTGAAATTTTCCCACCAAAGGATAGAAAGTAACACAAGTAACACGCATTATACCATTGTAAATTATCCACTAAGCATGCATTTCCCCTGTAATATGCTACCAATTGGATTATGATATGTTAACATTATGATTCTCATATATTATAGTTTATGGCTTTTTCATTATACCTGTTTCATGAGATTGATGATTATAGCTCACTTCCGGTAAAATACATAGGCCTACGTATAAAATGCACATTCATGGATACTTTGGGTAAAGGAAATTGTGGCTTTGACATGCAAACATTGTTGCGCAAATCTATCTTCACCCACCATCAACATCTCTGCAATCCTCCTCCATGCCACTGAACTTCTGATTTTGTCTCTGTATTCTAAAATAATTCTCAGCAAATAAACGAGGTAGAATTACAACGCTCCCCATGCCCCATTATTTTCCTTACACATTTTTAATTAGCCTACAAATTGTCAGTGACTTATTTTCATGTACAGTACTGTATATAGAATGCAAGGGTTGGATTTGCACTAAACAATTTAATGTCAGAAAAATCATGTACAAAATCTGTCTTATGGTTACCCTCATTTCCATTATCTACTGGTATCATTTTAAATTGAGAACATATAGCTAGCTCAACAATGTGCAAATGATGTGTGAGTTTAGCTATTCTCTGCTTCAGATGTACAATGACAAGGGGCACATTGATTGTACATGCTCATTAGGCTAGTAATGCCATCATACTGTAGGCCTCTGGCTGCATTGGTGATGCATGCCATTATGATACACTGCAAAATGGGTTCACTTTGGCTGATATCTTGAGACAGAGTAACACTGAAATAAAACAGATTGGAGAGCTCACAACTGGACAAAAAGGTCATATTCATTTGAGAAAGCAACACAGAAACACAGACGACACATTAGAGACAGATCCCCTTCACACCTTTTTATTGCAGAATTGACACTAGTTCTACTTTAATAATGTTTTTAAGTTAACAATTAAAACAAGTTTAAACACTTCACTGAATCAACATTGAATGAATCAACATATAATTTCAAAATGTACAAATAATCTAACTTGTTTGTAAATGTTAGACATCTTAGTAATAAGTAGGCTATTATTACTAAAGCATCATTTTTGGGTGAACAAAAAAGTCCATACCAGAGGTGGCTAACCTTGCTCCACTCCCTGATCTACTCGGCGAGCAGACTTCTATTCCAGCCCATCAATAATACACATTATTATCAACTCATTAGTTTTGATAAGTTGAATAAAGTGTGTTAGTGCTGGGCTGGAACAGAAGCCTGCACACTCAGCATACCTCCAGGAGAAGGATTGGCCTGCTACAGTTGTAATAAGTTTGTAGCCTTCATTGTGTGTGACTTTTAACTGTATTTTTTGTATACAACATGTGCTAACATAAGTACACATACAACCCATGGCATACAAGGATGTGCCAGCAGTCTCTTGGGATATTCACTGGGACCTCTTCATCTGCAGACAGGCTTTCGCAGCTCTCCATATCTGAGGAAAGACAACATCACAAAGAAACTGGCTTCATTTAATTTCAATTACACAGCCCTGACTATTATCCCTCTGTCTGCCTTCATAGTTTTCCTCTCTTGGGACTAGAACTGGATAATCTTTTCATGATGTCATCCCACAACCTGCCCTATTTAACTAGTAAACGTACTCCTTTTTCTGACAGCTGGAGCAGAAAATCCTTTCACCCTCTTCCATTGCTGATATCTACAAATGCATTTGGAACCTGAGTTTTTAATTTACAATGATAAATAGGCCTAAATCAAGATAACAAGCTAATATGAAGAAAGCTAGCTGATGATCTTTCACATAGCTAAGTATGTAAAGTTGGCTAGCTAGCTATTTAACTAGCAGCTCATTAGCCTACACACAGTGGGCTGCTATAGCTAGCTAGCTAATAATACATAGTTTTAAAAAACATTTTCAATATGTACTTACCTACTTACTTGAATAGGTTCATGCCTACGCCCACGCCCACGAAGCGGCCAATCTTTTGGAGCGAAGCTTTGTCAAACTGAGCCGCCTCTGGTCGAAACGTTACACAAGCTTTGAAAACATTCCATACTTTTCGCGGTGTATTTGAATGTTCGAAAATTTCAATGACATTCAAAATATTGTTGTCACAACATTCGATGATTGCTTGTTGATGTTTCAAAGCAAATGCACAAACTCAGTGTCGCAGAGCCTTGAATAATTAGGTGATAAGATACTTCACAATAATCACCGTTATTGATTTTGTACTCTACAGCAAAGGCATAGGAGCAATGGAAGAGGTAAGGAATTTTGCTTTACACTGCTTTATTTTGTGCAAATAGGCTACATTTCTCTTCTAATATCTACACTAAACCTTAAAGACTCGTTTATAACTTACATTGTGTCTGTGTTTTCAGATTTGATAGCTTAATTTTGGTAGGCTAAAATGTATTTTTCCCCATTTATCTAAAAAGCAATAGTTCCTGGAAGGATTATTTAGTAGAACATTTGAGGTGCAGGTACTCAGATCTGGTGAGCTCCTGCCCAAGTCAAGCACTGGTTAATACAAATAGTTTATTTAACTGTCACTGGTTGCCAGACTCTCAAAGCCTACATTTTTATTTTTTGTTACTTTGAAAGCCCACCTGCCATGTCCAAGCAGGTGTTATGCTGGAGGATCTGAGCAAATTAGTCACTTGGGCTCACTCTCATGGCTCCCACTGTCCCCACAAGCTTTCGCATAAGGGGAAACTCAACCATGGGGTTGGGCATCAGTGCAAAGTTAATTGGAGATGTGAGGTTGGACATGCCTTCGACTGGGCCTTGACACTTGCCACAGAGGTGAAAGTTGAGGAGGAAAAGACAGAGGAGGAGGTGGATGTAGGTCATATGAGCAAGAGGAGGAGAATACAACGCCTGTCCTCGGATGAGGAAGAGGAAGGGGAGATGGGATATGTCCCATTCATTGGGAATATTACTGATGAAAATGGGGTTGAATCCGACGTGAGCCACTGTAGCCTTGTGACCCACGTGTCAGGAGAGGGAGGAGATGCCCCAGTGAGAAAGCTAGAAGAGGCCTTGACTGGAAACAAAGCCAGGAAGTCCAAGCAGCAGAGAACTGTGAAACAACCTTTCTTTCCTAGGAGGATTGTTCAAGAGGACCCCAAAGGCAATATCCACATGGATGTTAGGGTGGAGCTGGAGCAAAAGAACAAGGAGTCAAATCAAGAGGGAAGGGGCATTGAGAAGAGGACAGTTCGAAAGGAGGAAAGCCCAGGCCCAAATGAAAACCTCATTACAGCTCTTGACATCACCCCTCTCCCGAGCTGCCTTTCAGACATTGAGAGCGCCCCAGAAGATGTGGAGTGGTCGACTCCTAAGGGTGGACAGGGTTCCCTCTCCCCTCCTAAACCTAAGCCCCTATTCCAGGGCCAGGGTGAAACCCACAGGCAGGGCTCCTGTAGTGCTGCCCTCTTCCCACTTACACCTCAGAGATCAGGTGCGGCTGCAGGGCACTCTCCCCCTAATAAAGGCAAGGTGAAAGCAGCAACCAAGAAACCAGCAGAGAAAAGTGAGTATATCTGCTGCAGTAATGATTAGTACATTATTATGGGACAGATTTACTAATAGCACCTGTTTTGTACAGAGGTTATGGTAAATCTGTTTTCATGTGGGTAGGACTTTACATTACAGCACAGACTATAGTGGTTATAACATGGTAATAGTATAATGGTCTAAGTTATAGTTACTCACAATTAATATGACTGTAATGTTTGTTCAATGTAAATGGTGTCTGGGGCAAGTTTTGTAAAGTGTGACTGTTATTTTGTTTCTTCCAGGGGGGCCAAAGAAAGCAGAGGCCCGCCTGGGCAATCTCATGACCTTTGTCATGTGGCTAAACTCTCAAAACCATCCGGGGGCGCGTTGTCCAGGCAGCCTTCCTGTCGCCGAGCTGGACAGGTTATTGGTCGCCTTCTTCCAGTACGTGTGGGAGGAGTCCCGCCTGCAGGCCCTGAGCAGCAGCACTCTCACAACTTACGCCCGTATGCTGGACCGTGATCTGCAGAACCAGGGCTGCAGCTTCAGTATCCGGAAGTCAGCCGAGTTCACAAACACCATTAGGGAACTGGATAGCTGCTGCCAGCACTTGAGGCAGAGGGAGTGGGACAGAGACATCCTGGTGATCCAGAGCTTGAGGAGAGAAGAGGAGGCTGCACTGAGGCAGGCAGGGGTCCTGTCTAGGGCCACACCGGATGGGCTGCTCAACCTGGTCCTGTTCAACAACCTCAAGGCCTTTGGGAAGTTCCACCTGGAGGGAGTCTGGCCCGGGCGCATCTCCGACTTCCACACGGCCATGGAGACCCACCCAGGGACGGGCAACGGGGAAAAACTAGAATACCTGGAATGGAACAATACTCATTTCCCAGACCAGAGCCCCGTACGGATGCACGGCCTGGCCGACGATCCGGAATGCTGCCCCCTGCGGGACTACAAGCTCTATGTATCCAAGCGCGTTGGAAGCCGCCTGATCGCCACTGATGCAATGTACTGTTGCCCACTGAGCCGCTATAGGCCCTGGGATGATTACTGGTTCAGCCGCCATGCCATGCCCAAACCTCGCCTGGAAAAGATGATCACGGCTCTGAGCCACCATATCCTCTCCGTTCGTAATAGGAGGGCAGCAGCCGTATATTAGTTAGCAGGTCCTAATAGAAGAACATTGATTGTATTTTAACTGTATACTGCATGTGCATACATAAATTCAAAGTGTGATATCCTAGCATGACATGTGTCATTTAATTACACCATTGAAAGTTATGTATGCTATGTTATTGTTGAAATGCTCATAAATAGTATTAAAAACAATTTCCCTTATATTCATGATAGTGATTCCTCATATTTCTAAGTTACTCCAGTCTCCAGCCACTCTCATAATGTAAATAACCTTAATTCAGTTAACTCATATATTTACTGTACCCTAAATTACACACTGTAGCCTGCATGAGAGAGAGTTACAGAAATGAGAAGAGAGAGGGGACCTCACAATCATAGAATTCAATAGAACACAACTCTATGCTCACAATCACATCTCTTACTTGTCCTGAAGATCACCCACGCAATGTTACACTACTACCAGCTAGTGCTTTTTATTAGGCTAGATTGCAGTAGACTTTAGTCTTGAATCTTTAGTCCTGAACATACACATGAAATGAAACTGATTTATTATTTACTATATGACTTTCAGGATAGGAGCATATACAATCTAGTACGATACCACAACCTTGTACAACGTTCTAAAATGTTTTTAAAACGGCAATTTGAAAACGTTTTGTGAGAAACATTGTAAACTGTAATTCAAAAGTTGGACAAGGTTAACCTTTGTTTTTTCCTAAATCAAAACGTTGTCACAACGTTGGTTCTATCGTAACCAATATGCAACCTTGTACAACCTAATACAATGTTCTGTGCCAGCTGGGTACACCTCTAGGAGAGTATAATAGTTGGGTCAAGGAGAGAGAGAAACAAGATATGGAAAGGAATGTAACATTACTAGACTGATTGTAAATGAAAGAAGCCTCAGGTTCATCTATTCCTACACAGAGTTCCTTTCTTATCACTAAAAATAGGGATATCAGACAAGGATTTAGGAATTTGAAACTCTGTGGAAACCACTCTTGGGAGCATTAGTATGCTGATTTTTTTTGTCTTTCTTGTAACTGTTCACTCAACCAAGCACCTGTAAAATCTATCCTCAATGTGTATAGTTCTAGTACTGTATAGCTGAAGCAGGGCCGGCGTACCTCCTTGCCCGACCAAATAAAATATTGAAATATTGATAATTTATTTGACCGAGACGCGCGCCGACCGAGCAAAACAGCGCCCCACTGTCTCAGTATGTGTAGACCATGTACAGTGGGGAAAAAAAGTATTTAGTCAGCCACCAATTGTGCTAGTTCTCCCACTTAAAAAGATGAGAGAGGCCTGTAATTTTGATCATAGGTACACGTCAACTATGACAGACAAATTGAGGAAAAAAAATCCAGAAAATCACATTGTAGGATTTTTTATGAATTTATTTGCAAATTATGGTGGAAAATAAGTATTTGGTCACCTACAAACAAGCAAGATTTCTGGCTCTCACAGACCTGTAACTTCTTCTTTAAGAGGCTCCTCTGTCCTCCACTCGTTACCTGTATTAATGGCACCTGTTTGAACTTGTTATCAGTATAAAAGACACCTGTCCACAACCTCAAACAGTCACACTCCAAACTCCACTATGGCCAAGACCAAACCAAAGAGCTGTCAAAGGACACCAGAAACAAAATTGTAGACCTGCACCAGGCTGGGAAGACTGAATCTGCAATAGGTAAGCAGCTTGGTTTGAAGAAATCAACTGTGGGAGCAATTATTAGGAAATGGAAGACATACAAGACCACTGATAATCTCCCTCGATCTGGGGCTCCACGCAAGATCTCACCCCGTGGGGTCAAAATGACCACAAGAACGGTGAGCAAAAATCCCAGAACCACACGGGGGGACCTAGTGAATGACCTGCAGAGAGCTGGGACCAAAGTAACAAAGCCTACCATCAGTAACACACTACGCCGCCAGGGACTCAAATCCTGCAGTGCCAGACGTGTCCCCCCTGCTTAAGCCAGTACATGTCCAGGCCCGTCTGAAGTTTGCTAGAGTGCATTTGGATGATCCAGAAGAGGATTGGGAGAATGTCATATGGTCAGATGAAACCAAAATATAACTTTTTGGTAAAAACTCAACTCGTCGTGTTTGGAGGACAAAGAATGCTGAGTTGCATCCAAAGAACACCATACCTACTGTGAAGCATGGGGGTGGAAACATCATGCTTTGGGGCTGTTTTTCTGCAAAGGGACCAGGACGACTGATCCGTGTAAAGGAAAAAATGAATGGGGCCATGTATCGTGAGATTTTCAGTGAAAACCTCCTTCCATCAGCAAGGGCATTGAAGATGAAACGTGGCTGGGTCTTTCAGCATGACAATGATCCCAAACACACCGCCCGGGCAACGAAGGAGTGGCTTCGTAAGAAGCATTTCAAGGTCCTGGAGTGGCCTAGCCAGTCTCCAGATCTCAACCCCATAGAAAATCTTTGAAGGGAGTTGAAAGTCCGTGTTGCCCAGCGACAGCCCCAAAACATCACTGCTCTAGAGGAGATCTGCATGGAGGAATGGGCCAAAATACCAGCAACAGTGTGTGAAAACCTTGTGAAGACTTACAGAAAACGTTTGACCTGTGTCATTGCCAACAAAGGGTATATAACAAAGTATTGAGAAACTTTTGTTATTGACCAAATACTTATTTTCCACCATAATTTGCAAATAAATTCATAAAAAATCCTACAATGTGATTTTCTGGAGAAAAAAAATCTCATTTTGTCTGCCATAGTTGACGTGTACCTATGATGAAAATTACAGGCCTCTCTCATCTTTTTAAGTGGGAGAACTTGCACAATTGGTGGCTGACTAAATACTTTTTTCCCCACTGTATCTGATTCTGTCTGGACCAAAAGGGTATGGCATGTCATACTATTTATGGTCAGACAGTATCAGATACATGAGCTACATATAGAGGGGTCGCTGTTTCGCTCGCTCGAATACTTTCTCCGGTGATATAGCTTCAGCAGAGGGGAAGAGGCGATGCGAGATGGCTCACTCTCGCCAACATCTGTCAAGAATAAGCCCAATGAGTTTCTATGGGCATAATATGCAGACCTAAACTTGTCACCTGCCTTCTCGCATTTGGGACAAAGACTCCCATTGTTAGGGTGGAGACATGATCATCTCGTCATTATATCCAGATCTCTGGTTTCAGCCTCTTGCGAATTGGAAACGAAAGTTGGCTGGTGCACATTGCACTGTTTGCTGGATTGCATGAAAGGAAATGTATGTTTCGGCAAAATTATATAATTACTCCTGTCTAAATAAAATCATTCAAAATACTTCACCAGGGAGCATGACCTAGCCACAGAGGTTCATTAACTTATTTTTCAAAAATAGCTGTGGATTGTTTTAAATCACAAGTGTGTAGGCCTATGCCTACCCAGGTAGCACAAACGTCTGGCCCACATCTGGCCTGATTCCGACATGCCAGATCAAAAACTGCTGGCCCAGCTGCCGGATCCGGCCCGAGTCCGAAATATATATATATTTGATGTGTTACTGTAATTCAGCATTTAGCTGCCATAGTAAACATGAAACGAAATAAACCATTATCATCATTATTGAATCTTGGAGCGCTCTTTGCCATCTCTGCTCGAGACCAGTTGGGGTCTAGCGAGTTCTTTGGATTTGTGACTAACTGGACATAGCTAGCTAATATGGGGGGTGATTCGTGCCCGAATTAAGCCTTGTGAAGCTACTGTTACCTCTCACCAAGTCACCTAACGTCTTCCTAGCCATAAAATACCTCCATTAATTAGCATGGACTGTCAATGGAGACAAGTTCTTTTCTAAGGCCTCAAACTGCCAAAGCGTTCACATCACGTTCATATTACGTGACACATACACTTCATGTAGACTTAGTGTCACGTCACGTAAAGTGGCACTGATACCTCACATGTCAGTTTGCTTGTATATGGGGGGTGATATGTGCCAGAATTAAGCCTAGGCAACCGTACCACCGTGTGGCTGTCGCCTACCATTGAACGTCTGACTGATATGACATGATACCAATGCCTTACTAACATCTGCGTGACGCCTGTGTGAAACTAACATGTCGTCATACCAACGCCTTACTAACGTCTGCGTGACGCCTGCGTGTTAATGAAAGTCATAAAGTGCATAGATTATATTAATATTAATTAAATCTCAACCATAAATGTTAGAAACTTACAGTTTTTCCTGTGCAAGCCGACATTCCGAAGTAGCCACCTTGAGCTATAGTGTGGCCTATGGCTTGTGTATTTCCTTTTATTATTAATTACCTAGAAAAAAGGATGTCCAATCTATAGGTAATATGTCTTTCCCTCAACACCACATGGTATGTTATCTTATCTCGCTGTATACATTGTATACAATGTTGTTAGCCAATCACAGACTGTGTTGTTTCCAGTAGCCTACATCAGACAATCAGTAAGAGTTGTGTCCATGGCTTTCAGTCGAATACAGGAGTTCATAGGCTTCTCCAGAGGGTCCGTGCTATTCAGAATCCTTGGGACGTCCCTACCTGAATACATTTTAGTCATTTAGCAGACGCTCTTATCCAGAGTGACTTACAGGAGCAATTAGGGTTAGGTGCCTTGCTCAAGGGCACAGACAGATTTTTGACCTAGTCAGCTCGGGGATTAGAACCAGCGACCTTTGGATTACTGGCTCAACGCTCTTAACCACTAAGCTACCTGCCGCCCTATCAAGAATCAAGAATACATGTAAAATGGTTCAGTTTAGTGTTAGTTAAGGGTTATAGTTTAGGGTTTAGGGTTCAGGGTAGGGGCGTCCCAAGGAATCCGGATAGCAGTGACCGTTCGTAGAGTGAGAGACGGGCATGGTATTTGAGAGCTCGGCAGCGACACAGACATTCATTTGTTTGTAACGGCTCGTGTACACTAGCACGCAGTAAATTGCCGCGTGCCACTTCGGCTGCCCAGAGTGGCTCGCTTATGGGGGTCCTGGCAGCACATAGCAGCAGGTTCAATTGTGCATCAACAATTCAGCATAGCAAG